TATGTGTGTGTGTATGCACACACGCACGTGCGCACGCATGTTAACCTGGCTCCTTGCCTTCACTCAGTAAATCTAATCCACAGTTTGAAATAACTCATTCAGTAAAATAACCAAATTAGGAATTGAGTGCCAGGACAGCATATTATGTGTGCTGCCCAGCTTGCTCTCCCTCTACCTACCCAGCCCCCACGGCTGCTTTGTTTGCTTCCTTGCAGCTGCTGCTCTGGTTTAATTTACTGAGATGCCATTAGTCGGGAGATGGAAGCAAAAACTTACCAGCCTGCCTGCTCTGTTTTTTGGAGTCCCAGCTTTGCCTTTTCTTACCCACCTCCCTGGCTGTGGGTTTTCAGCCAGGACGAGGTTGCTGCTGCTCATCCAGTGCAGGCTGCAGCCTCACAGGCATCACAAAATCACTGCACTCCCCCTTTGCCACTGGGTTGTTGATGGGCATCACAGCTGGAGAAGCAGGGACAGGTAGGAGGGGAGGACATCGCAGGTCAGGGCTGAGGATTAGGAGGCAAAGCACGATCCAGGCTCCAGCAGAGGTACTGGAGATCAGACGCAACATGTAGGAGCAGCAAGGAGGGAGGGAGATGTCATTGCCCCTTGGCTGGCTTCTGTGAGCCACACCAGCCCATCTCAGCTGGTCAAACCATGCTGCCTTATGAAAGCAGAAGTAAAGGGAAACACAGCAGCATCTGCAGTGCACGGGTAATTACTATGTCCTACAAGGTCACATGGTGAGTACCACGGCCTCCCCTTGGACGTGACCTGTTGTCATCAACACGGTGCCACAGTCAAAGATGCTTGTAATTGAGATTAAATTCATCATTTCAAATCATTGCTATTGTTATCACACATCATCTTCATTCTGCTCTTTTACTTCTTTCTCCATCAGTGAAGGAGAACCCCAAATCACCACTTTCCTCGTTCTTTCTCACCTTAGAGTTGTAGGTGGATTGTTCCCAGGTTTTCCCAGGCAGTTCTGTGGAGGGTCAGAGGAGGGGGAAAAGTGGCTGCAGTCAGGTTACCAGGAGAATAAAACGAGGACAGCTGGGCAAAGATAAGTCAGGCAGCCGGGGAGTTAAAACACTAGCTTTTCTTACTGATTTGTATCCAGTTTGTGGGGAAGAGGCAGAGAGGTCTCTCCCCACTCTCCAGAGCCACTTCTCAGTTGCAGAAGGTCAGGGACAGCAAAAGGCAACTGGGTGCTCTATTTCTAACGTGCAAGAATCAAGCCCAGGATTTCAGAAGCAGAAACAAACAGAAAAGGGAGAGTAGAGGGGGTGTAAAAGGTAGAAAAGGGAAGAAGGAGAAACCTCCTGGATGTCTGTTAGCTGCTGGCACAGGAAGATGAGTTGAGAACCACTGCAAGTGCCCCTGCTCCTGCCCTGTCTTGCGGGATTCTTGGCGCTTGGCTGGTGTCGCAGTGCACACACGCAGGCACACACCCACCCGCTCACGTGTTGGCGGGATGTGGGGAAGGAGGCTTTCAGAAGCCAACAAGATGAACAATTATGCCTCCTGTGCCAAGCAACAAGACTCACTTCCCCACTCCCCAGTCATGTCCCGGCAATTTAATAAAAAGGGAGATTAGCCCCTCTTTCCTCTCTTACATCTCCTTAATGCTATCATTTTATTCACACTTTGCAAAGCAAATAAACCAGTAAATTGCTTGCTTTAATGAACTGAAATTAAACTCAGGCTGCTGATAAAATGCCTTTTCTCCTTTCTGTTGTTGGGAAGGACTTGTCTGATAGGCAACGTACAGGAAAGAAGAGAAAAACACACAGCAGGAGTCTTATTGAACGTGTTTGAATCATTTACTTTTGCTCTTCTTCATCCTCGAGGCTTCCAATTAGGTGAGGGAGGCACGTGGGTGATGAAAAGGCTAAAGGAGATCAGGCTGGCAAGGTCTGTGGACAGTCCACCTCTGCTCTTTGCTCACAGGATAGACCCCGCTCTGCTAGCTAATGCCCTCTGACGCAGGCTGCAGCCCACAGCCTCCCTGAGAAGGAATGACAAGAAACCTTCTTCTGCAAGAAAAAGGCTAGTTTGGCTCTACAGAGCAATTCCAGACAGGAGCTTTACCAAAGAGGGTGGCTAGGTCAACATGGGAGTTAGAGGAGACAGAATAAGCGCTTGCTAAAGAGAATATGCCAGAATGCATCAGTCCTTGCTGCCTGTGCTCTCTCGATTTGTCAGGGCTTGCCCTGCCTGCAGGAGGTCCCCGCCGTGCACAAGCCCACAGAGGAGGACAGGGGGATGCTTGCACCAAGGGCGGCAGGCAAGGAAATCTCCTTCTGTGCTATCCCAAAGGGACAACTGGAGCAGCCGTTGCTTATGGCTCTGCAGGGCAGAACTACCCTTCTCCCACACCCTTAGAGGCAATGTGCATCCTCACAGGAGGCAGCCAGAGGAGCTGGAGATCGGGCTGGCCCCTGTGGCAGAGGAGAGCGGGCACATGTAGAGCCCATCCTGCAGCTGGAGGGAGAGAAAGTCTCCATCTGCAGCACAACGCATGTGCTGGGATTTTCATCCCGACAAGAGGAGCTTGGGGCTCTTTCATTCAGTCTCCCACAGCCCTGTGAAGTGCTATCATTGTCTCACCGTACCGGAGAGGAGACTGGAGCGCAGAGAGGTTAATTGAGTTGCCCAGTGCTGGGAGGGATGTCGCAGCAGATGTCTTTCAGCCTGGCACTGCAGCCCATGCCTCCCTGTCAGCTATGAAGGTGGTAAGGGGGGACACTCACCTGCAGTGCCCTAGTGCACCGTCCTTCATCCCTTCCCCCCTGGGTCCAAGGACTTGGCTGTGCCAAAATGGACTGCCAGGTCCTCTCAAAGCATCCTAGACCAGGGAGAGCACATCCTAGACCAGGGAGGGCACATGTGCTCCTGCCAGTGCTGCAGGTACCGTTCCCCAAAATGGGGTTACTTGCAAGAGCAAAATGGGCTTCAGTAGGAATAGCAATGTAGAAGCATTCTAAAGTCCAAGTTTCTACCCCCAGGAAGGAGGAGACCTGAGATTCAACTGCCTTTCCCTCCGCACTCCGCATCCCTTCCACCCAAGCCCCATTTCTAGTACACTTTGGACCACTTGACAACCAGCCTTATACAGCTGTCAGGCAATCCAGCACCAAGCACAGCCCCTTCACCATGTGGGCACTGGGAAGTGGTTTGGAAACCAATTTCTGTGTCTATACTATATTGCAGATCCAATGAAAGACAATTTAAATACAAGATGTGCCCCGTCTCCTTCATGGATGCCAAAGAAATCTCCGCTTCCTATCAGCTGTGTTTTCAAGGAGTGCTGGTGGTGTTTCCCTGCCTTCTACAGCCTGCCCTGGGACAAGGGAGACAACTAGAGCCCTGTGCCAACAAGAGTCCCAAGGATTTCCCAGACAGGCTGTGATGTTTTCTCTCCATTTGTGGGCAACACCATCTCTGCCACAACAACTCACAGGATCCATCCTACCAGCCCAGAGAGCTGTTTGGCAGTAGGGATGTCCACAGATGATATTTTTCACATCTTCTGGAAAAGCATGACCCAGGAGATGCCGATGGTCATGCAGTTCCATCCTCCCTACTTTTGCCTTCCAGTTTCCCTAAGAAATGACAGAAAGAGGTAGAAGTGCTGTTCACGGATATTTATGTTTAGTCAAAAATGCAGGAAAAAATAATGGAAAATGTGAGCCAGGAATGAGAGTTTTTCTGTGGAAAGTAAGGCTGCTGGCAGCCCTATAGGCTTGTGTCTAGTGAAGACTCTTCCTGGTTTTCCAACAGCTGTTTCTGGCTGGGGAGGGAAGGTCTTGTCCTGTCTTCTGCACGCACTCTTGTTTTGCCACTGAATGGCTGAGGCTGTTCCCCACCTCTGTGTCATTTCACCTGGGAGGGAGAGAGGGATCTTAGAGACAGGCAGTGAGCCCCAGTGACAGACAAGGACATTGGACTGTGGATAACCACACTCACGTGTTTTTCAGTCAGAGTGCCCTGAAACTCCTTCCCAGGTTCCCAGAAGCAGGGACAGGCGCTTGATGCTGGCCTTTATCCTAGATGTCACGCAGCAATGCAGTCAGAGAGAGATACAGTGTCCTCAATCAGCATCCCCTTCTGTGGCACCGCTGCTGCGCACACCAGTACGCGAGACAGTCAGGATTCCCCTCAGCAAAACGCTGCAGCATCAAATCTACATCAGAGCGAGTTGTCTAGACTTCATCTGCTCTCAGTGGAGAGGAACAGACACTTCTGGGGCATCACTCCTCTCCTGCTAAGGTAGACACCTAAATAGGTCAGACGAATGGTGCCCTGGATCTATGTTGGTTTCTCAACTGTCTTTAATGTGACGCTGGACAATGGGCTCAGAGGACGACCTCCACGGTCAGTGTCCACCTTCCCTCACGGCTGCCAAATGCTGCTGGCGGCAGCACCCAAATAAACCAAAGGCTCCTTGAAAGGTGGTAACCAGGGTTAGAAGGCAAGTGCCTAACAATGAGAGGGTAATTGGGTGCATCTCCAGCACCTCTAAATGCTAACTGTCTTTCCGTAGTGTTTAGTTTGTGCTTGTGCTTTGTTTTGAGCAGGTGACCAAGCGGGGACAACCAGATCCACGGAGGCACACGGAGATGGGGACCGGTGTCGCGATGGGCAGCAAAAAGAAAACGAGGAGATGTTCTATAAAAAGTGAGAGGAAGGCTTGTCTCTGAGCCAAAGGGACTCCTCCACACGGCACCTAACTTCATGACTCCCTCCCTGAGATGCCAGAGACCTGGTGATGTGGGACCAGCCTCAGCCACTCAGGCCTTGGTAGCAGTCCCTGGCCGGTGGCTGCTGCGTACC